TCCTGCTGAGTCCCAGCACCGTGGGAGGACTGAGGGCAGCAAGCTGGCCTCAAACCCTGTGGAGGCCCTCGGTCACAAGCTGGTGGACGTTGTCATGGTGGACTTTTCTCTGCAGTCCTAAAGGTGGTGGAGCTTTAACATGGAATTACCACCTTGGCAAGGAGGGGGTGGCAGGTGGTGACTGTCACAACATTTGCTTCCTTTCTCCTCTGGGTGTCGGGGAGGGGTGAAGTAGCTTCGCTTCCCTAGAACCTCCGGCTGGTAGATGTAGAGCTGGTGGTCTTCTTCAGAATGGTGCCGGAGTTAGCCCCTCCACCCACAGAGCCGAATCCCCCCCCAGAGCCAAACCCAGCCCCTCCCAGGCTGTAGCAGAAGCCGGCACCGCCGGTGCCGCAGCCGCCTCTCCCGAGTCCTCCTCCCAGGCACAGCCCGTTGCCGCCTCCCACCACGGCTGCAGGGGAGAACAGAAGCCATGAGGTTACCCCTGATGTCACCATCAAGTTTTGGGGCATCAAGCCCAGCCCACCATGCTCCTTCAGGAGGGGGGAACACTACTTACAGATGCTCACAGCGCTCTGACACTCTCCAGACATCCTGCAAGGAAAAGAGGGAGCATCAGCTCCAGCCAGAGCTCTGAACTGGTCCAGCTCCAGGAAGCTGGGCTTGGTCCATCAGACCATGGGCATAAATAGCAGCAGTTATAGGCCCCTAGTCCATAGCTAGTGGCAACACCATGGATATTTTAGGAGAGGAGATTCCATGGGCCATGTTCTTCCCACTGGTTTAGCAGGATGGAATCAAGCTCCTGCTGTCACCCACCTGCACTCCTCTCCCTCCAGCAGCTTCCTGTAGGTCGCGATCTCGATGTCCAGGGCCAGCTTGACGTTCATCAGCTCCTGGTACTCGCGGAGCTGCCGGGCCAGGTCAGTCTTGGCTTTCTGCCGAGCATCCTCCAGCTCAGTCAGTTTGGTCCTGGCATCCTTGAGGGCCAGCTCCCCGCGCTGCTCAGCGTCTGCGATCGAGCTCTGCAGGGTCTCACACTGGAGGACAAGAAGTGGGCAAGATGAGTGGGGCAGGGGCAGATGGTTAGGGCTGAAGAGTCACTCAAGCTCAGCTTGAGTTCCCCTCCCATCCTCCCCCCACCCGCCCAGCTCTTGCAGGGACTCTTACTGAGCTGTTTGCTTTTGGGGAAGCTCCAAAGAACATTGCCAAGAGCTCACACCCCTTTCCCCAGAAGCGCAGCCCCTACCTGCTTCTTCACATTCTCAATCTCAGCCCGTATCCTCTGGATCATGCGGTTGAGCTCAGAGATCTCGATCTTTGTGTCCCGGAGGCTGTCCCCATGCTTGCCTGCAGTGGCCTGCAGCTCTTCATACTGGCAGGCAGAAGGGAGAGGAGCACATCAGGTCCACCACAAGTGGCTCCAGCCCATGCAAGTCAAGGTGAGCATGTGGCAGGATCAGTACTTGCCTGGCTGGATCAGTACCAGCAACAATGCAAGTCTCAGCATGGCCTGGGCCATCACCAGGAGCACCTGCCCCTCCACAGCCACCCCTGGTCACAGGCAGGGTGTGCAGCACTCACCTTGTTTCGGTACCAAGTCTCAGCCTCCACCCGGCTCCTGTTGGCGATCTCCTCGTACTGGGCTTTGACCTCTGCAATGATGCTGTCCAGGTCCAGGTTTCGGTTGTTGTCCATGGAGAGAACCACAGAGGTGTCAGAAACGGTCTTCTGCATCTGAGCCAGCTCCTGCAATTCACAACACATCTGGCTTTAGCCCTGCTGTAACCTCCTTGCCCTTCTCCACCCCCCTCCAGGGAGCAGCTGGACCACTCACCGCCTCGAAAAGGCACCTCAGGAAGTTGATCTCATCTGCCAGAGAATCTAATTTTGCCTGAAGCTCCACCTTGGTCATGTAGACTCCGTCCACATCCTGCAGGAGGGGTGGGAGGTGAAAACCTGCCTGACACATGCCACTTTCTCTGATGTTTCACTGCGAGACCTTTGGGGCTCCATGTCCCCATGTCACCTCCAGTGAGGGCCCTGGAGCACGGCTGATGCAGCAGAACATCACCTGCACCAAGACCCCTCTGTATAACCATAGAAAAAAGTACTTTACCTTCTTCAGGAGCACAAAGTCGTTCTCAGCAGCTGTTCTTTTGTTTATTTCCTCCTCATACCTGTTGGTGACAAGGAGGTAGATGGGATCTGGATGATTGTTTTGGCTCCAGCTGCTGCTGGCAACCAGCAGCTCTTGGCCTCAGAGGAATGAGGGCAGCAAAAAGAGGACAAGCACCAGCACTGCACCTTCCTGCTCACCACCCTGCACAGAGGCACCTCCCCATGCCTTGGTGTCTGTGGCCACCCTGACTCCTTCTACGAGACCCCAGGACCTTCAGGTCCTTAACACTGGCCATTTCCAACCACTTATCAGGGCAGGTAATTGCTGCAGAGCATTCATTAAGTGGTGGATTTGACTCCAAAACAAAGTCAACCTCAGCAGATCACGGTTAATCCTGGTGAGTCCCAGACTTGCTTTCCCACCATTTTTTGTAACTCCTTCCCTGGAAACATTTCTCCAGGCTTTGCTCTTGCATTTCAGGCTGGGCAATTTTATCTAATAAACCACAGCAGGAAAAGAATCCTTCCTTTTTTTCTTTTTTTTTACTTTTTGCCCCACATCATCTGTCCAAGCTTCAAATCATGAAGGATATTATGGGAAGGAACCCAGGAGGAAATCCATGAAATCCATTTAGCAACAGATCTAATTAGTTCATTAAATCATAATGTCACAGATCCTTGAGTGAGGAAGACAAACAGCAGAGGATCCTGCTTCAGTGAGGAGCATAACTCAGGCAAACATGTAAATATTGAGAAATACTTGGAAAATCCCCACCTGGTGCCAAAACCCACTTGATGAAAACTTCCCTCAAACCTGTTACATCTTCTAATCATTGAAACAAGTGAATTACTGCCAATCCTTCTGATTCCTCCTGGCTGTTCAAAGTCAGTTTTTATCTCTATATTTTTTCACCACCAGGCAGCCCAACCACGACCACACCAAGGACAACGTACTTGGTCTTGAAGTCTTCCACCATGTCCTGGAAGCTCTTCAGCTCTGCTTGCAGCTGCACCTTTTCGCTGCCCAGGGAGTCCAGCTGCTTCCTCAGCCCGCTGATGTAGGTCTCAAAAAAGGGGTCAAGGTTCCTGCTCCCTGTCCCTGTGCCCCCCTGCTCCTGCAGGAGTTTCCACTTGGTTTCCAGGACTCGGTTCTGCTGCTCTAGGAATCGGACCTGAATGATCGCAGGGGTGGGTAGAAAAAGAGTCAGACTCTTCCCAAAAGCATCTTACTGATTTTTTTTCCCTCGGTTTTCCACATTTTTCCCCATTTAAGGAGTTTGACCTTGCTGTCTGTTCTCATCTCCAGTGAGGATTAACTCCAGGGTCCCACTGGACAGGCAAGGACCACAGCTCTAGGATGACAGGGCAAAGGTGGGTCACCTGCCCTCTCCAATCTCCAAAGAGCAGAAGAACAGTGACCTTCTCTGCTTTGGCATCTTCTCCTTAAAAACAGGCCAAAGCACCCTTCAGCCCATGGATGGACAGAGCAGACACTCATCTGAGGATGTCTGCATGTAGGTACATGGTCCCACAGCTTAGCACCACCACCATGGCCTTAAGAACCAGGAATCCTATTCCTAGGTTTCTCCATAACCTTGGGAAAGCCACTTCTCCAGCCACAATCTCCCTGTCTGCAGGGGTTCATGGGGGCTGGGTGGGTGGCAAGCAGCTGGAGATGGGGTCAGACCAACCCTCCACCCCCAGCCCTGAGCTGAAGCCCCTCTCACCTTGTCAATGAAGGAAGCAAATTTGTCGTTGAGCTGCTTCATCTCCTCCCGCTCTTGTGTTCGCACCTTCTGGATCTCGGGGTCAATCTCCAGGTGGAGTGGGGTCAGCAGGCTCTGGTTGATGGTCACTTCCCGGATGCCACCCGGTGGGCAAGGGGGAAAGCCTTGACCTCCCAACCCGCCATCAAACCCTCCACCAAAGCCACCAAAACCACTGCCAAAGCCACCGCCGAACCCACCACCGTAGCCACCACCAAACCCTGCCCCAGCACCGAAGCCACCGACCCCAAAACCTCTGCCGAACCCTCCCACGGAGGTGCTTTTACTGCCTCCCAAGCAGTAGAGGCTCCTGCTGCTGAAGCCACCAGCGTTGCCGGGTCCCCTGCATCCTCCTCGGGACACAGAGCCGAGCGCAACCTTGTTCCTCCCTCCGAAGCAAACGGAGCTGGAGCTGAACCCCTTTCCCAAGCCACAGGACTGACGAGACATGGTGATGGGTCCCCAAGAGTCAACCAGTGCAGAGAGAAGAGCAAAGAAGGCACAGGAGGAGGTTTGGAGGTGAGAGGAGGTAAGTCTTGTGGGTGCAGTGGCTGAGGTCCCCTTTTTATCTGCTCAAGGAGTTGGCCAGGTGTCAGGGGAGTGGAGAGGTCTCCCTTTGTCTTGTGTTGTTTTTTTTTATTGTATTCATTGTTTTAGGGTTTGGATGGATGCCCTCCTCCCTTTGCCACCACCATGACCTGCCTCAAAACACTCCCTCCAGAGCTAAAAAAAACAAAGCTATTGTTGGTGTTGGAAGCCCAATTCCAAAGCAAATTCTCTGCACTGCAACTGCCAACTCATCATGAGCCTCTCTGAGCCTCTCACAGCAATGACAAAGCACCAGAAATTCTTTGACACATCACACCCTCCAAGGAGACCCTTATTTTAGCTAAATCACTCATTTTGAGCCTGATGGCAGGTGCTTGGTTCACTGAATTCCGACAAAAACCTGGTTTCCCAATCACACCCTCAGATGCACCCGGGTTCAAGCTCCTGCTCAGAGGAGGTTTCACTGGGGCTGCCTAAAACTGTTTCACAACCAGGGAGCATTAGTCTTTGGCAGGGTTGGTTGTAAAATCAGTCTTGTGTCAATAAGGAAGACTTAGAAACACTTTTTAAATTGTCTTCAAGTCATTTTTTATCTCTCTGTGTTCTGGTTTGGTTTGGTGGGGTTTTTGATAGTGGGGGAAGGACCCCAGGGGTGGCTCCAGTAAGAAGCTGAGAAGCTCCCCCTGCTCCAAACCAGCCCAGGAGCCCTGACAGGGACAAGAGGTGCCCCTCTGCATTAACATCCTAAAGAGCAGCTATAACACTGAGCAGAGACACACCTGGGGGAAGAAGAGCTGGGCTGGGGAAGGAGACGGGGCTGGGGGTTGGTGAGGAAGGAAGGGAAGAAGGTGCCCGAGCAGAAGTTTCCCTGCAGCCCATGGCGAGATGGCAGCTGTGCCCCTGCATGTGTGGAGGAACGTGGGGAACGTTCCCTGGGGGTGCCAGGAGGAGAGAACTTGGCCAGTGGGCTGGGATGTTGTGGCCAGTGGGCTGGGCTGGTGCAGCTGTGGGAGCCCCCGGGCCAGGGGAGGTGCCCGTTCCCGAAGCCCCCGGGCTCTGCGGGCAGCGCTGGAGCAGCTCCTGGTGGGAAGGGCTCCTGGAGGAGAGGCTGGGGGAGGATCTGCCAGGGAGGGACCTGTGTGGAGCAGGGCAGGACTGTGAGGAATCCTTCTTCCTGAGGGGGAAGGAGCAGCAGGAACTGCCAGCCTGTGCAGTGACTCCCAACCCCATCCCCATCCCCCTGTGCTGGGGGGGAG